AAGCATATAAAATTCATTGTGATCCGAGTACAATATTTAACGGGCATCTACATTTTATTTCTTTTTCTTTTTATCGGGTGATTCATCGCTTTGATGTTCCTGGAAACACAATTTATAATATTAGGCATAAGGAGTGCTTACGTCAAATATTTCTTTATCAGGTACCTGCGTAGTGTCATTGCTTGGGCCACAGTTAGTTACAGATCTAGGAAAGATATGTCTGGGTTCCCTCTTACCACCCCGGAGACGTGAACGGGGAGGGGGAAACAGAGAGAGTTAGGCAGACCAGGAAAGATAAAAGATCATGTGGGTGTGACAGGGTGCTGGGCAGGAACTCCTGAGCCAGCCCTCTGTCATGCCAGCTCCAATTAAGGGAGGTAAATTGGAGCTGGCTAGAGAAACCTGCACCAGATTGGCAAATGGGAAACAGCTGCCAGCCTAATTAGCTGGGAGCTACATACAGGCCTAGAGGAAGGAAGCTGGGGAGAGTCAGAGAGTGGAAGGAGAACGGTAGCTCTTCCCTCCTGGGTGCAGAACCTGAGACGTCCCTAAGGCTGAACCCCAATCTGTTTATGGTGAGAAGGTGGTGGGCGTGTCCGCATGCTGTAAATAAACTGCACCGGTGATTGCTGAACCCCAGGGGCTCTGAGTGGTTTGTGAACGCAACAGAGGCAGGAGCAAAGGGGACCCTGCTACACCCTTTTACAGTGAGAAACAGAAAAAATAAATGAAGTGATCAAAATTGACCAAAGATCACTTGAAAAATACATAATTCTTATCCAAACCGAAATAGGACCTAAATCCATGAGATTTACAAGGGCGTGACCTCATTACTCACTACCACCACCACCCCCAAAACACCCAATTGGAGTTTAACTGGATTCCCTTTAGCTTTATAAAGAAGAAATGGTCTGATATCAAAAGAGGACGTGGTTTCTGCTCTGTTCACAACAACAACAGAAGGGGGAACAAGTCTGTAGTAGATATTTAAGAAAGTTATGCAAATTGTTTAAATAATCGTATGCTAACATAACCGGCTCATTTGCAGATAAGAATTCATTAGCAGACCTGTTCTGCCGACACTTTGCCCCCTAGAGCCTTGTCCATGCTGGATTATAGTGCGAACGCCATTGCGCAAACGTTCTATCAGCAATAGAAATCAACACAGCATTTCTCACAACTCATTTAACAAAAATAAAAATGAAAGAAAAGTCCCTGCACGAATGGTATTGCCAATCTCACAATAACACGGTCTCAGCAATCTGCTGAATCAGAACCAGCCCGAATTATCATTCCTGGGTAGGAGTTTGGGAGCTCAGATTTCTTTACAGTTGGGAATGGAAACGATTTGTCATGAAACTAAACATTTCATTACGTTGCTTAGCTCTGGTACCTCTTACACATGTACATTTAAGGCAAATGGGTTGAATAGTTTCAGATTTACTATAAACCCAGAATCTAGGAGATTAGCTGGGGATGGAGCAAAGTAAAATCACTGGGGGGAAGAGGAGGGGTTGGAAAAGGTACCAGGAGAGAGAGGCCTCAGACAGAAAACAAACTCACACTACTCTGTTGAGCCCTGCTGCTGATCGACAGGCGTAAGGCATCCCCAGGCCCAGTGCAGCACTTTGCTTGGAGTCAGGATCTCGAAGGGGGATGTGCTTCCGGTGCACCGGAATTGTGGGAGGGGCAGATGCTCCTGGTGGACTGGAATCATGGAGGGGGCGTTGCTCCCAGTGCACTGGAATCGGGGGGAGGGCGGGCTGTTGTTCCTGGTGCACTGGAATTGGGGGAGGGGCTGTTGCTCCTGATGCACTGGAATCATGGGGGGGATGTTACTCCCAGTGCACTGGAATCGGAGTGGGGGATGTTACTCCCAGTGTAATGGAATCATGGGGGGAGGGTGGGATGTTGCTCCAAGTACACTGGAATCATGGGGGGCAGGTAGGTGCAGACCAAGCAAGGGTATCCGCATTGTAACACTCCTGCCTGCAGCAGCTTGGGCACAGAACTGGCTCTGGAGTCTGGGGGGAAGGGAGGGCAGAAGGGTCAAAGTTCAATCAGAGACAAGCGTCTTCTCCCCACCCCTGGCCCCCGGGAGGTCAAAGAAATCAAGCAGAGGGAAGGGGAAGGGGAAGGGAGAAGCTGAAGTGACGCGTCTGCCTTGCACAGTTTGGCGCTCAGCTGGGAGCAGTGGCTGAGCTGGCAAAGTTGTTTTAACGCAACCCAGCTGTATCTGCTGTGATGTCTTGTGTTCCCTTTTTCCAGCCCCTCTGAGAGCCCCACAATTCTCAGACTGTTTCTCCTGGCACTTCCCTCTCGCAATCAATACCCTTCTCCTGTAGTGCTTTAATAGGTCTTTCCTGTGGCTGTGAAGTTATGTTCATAGTACTCACTGTGTCATCTACCGAGGAGAGTCTGTTCTCAGCTTTCTCTAGTCTCACTGCAAGTCTTGCAAGTTAGCTTGAAGTGTACTAGTAAGATTTATGATCTCGGATTATAGCTTCACATAATCTATCCACTTGAGACTTGTTTTAGCCAGTCCATAAATTCATCTAGTCTCAGAGGGGCACATCTCCCTGGTCAGCCATCCTGGCTACAAGAGGGCTGTGCAATGGCTTCTGCTTTTTAGGATTGTGTAGAAAGTCTGGAGACGGTGCAGCATCCCTAATGGCATTAAATTAGAAGCAAAGAGTGGTAGAATAATATCTAATACAAATTAGATGGAAAAAAACAATTCAGTTGCTGCTGGTTGTGACTGTTAGGAAAGGAGCTGTAAAGCTATGCAGCCCCAGCCCTCTAGTGGCACCTGGAAGTCTGACCATATTGTGTTATACTGTATCATTCATTTAGCCCTCTTTTTTCCAAATCATTTAAGGGGGAAGAGTCTCAGGTGACTAGAAAGTAAGGACAGCTAAAGTAGGAGGGGTGATGGAATTCACTTCTTGTTCTCACCACAGCAGTTTGCCACTTGCCACAGAACTTGCTTGTGAGGTGGATGATGCTAGTCTTGCAGGTTCACTTTAGGAATGGACTCTGATTTCTGCATGTGACCCAACATGTCTTTTAGGATGTAGCCACCTTCTTCCTTATGCTGGCACTATGATTACCTCTCTTCCATGGTGTGTGCAGTAATGTGCCACCAGTAGGGAGAGGTGGAACCTACACGACACCCCCGCTATAATGCCCTTCATAATAATGAGAATATAATGAACCTGGTCCCTGGATCCCACCTCCAGCCCTGGGGCTGCAGCGAGGGCTGACAGATCCTCCAGCCCTGGGTCTGTGGTGGGGGCTCAGAGCTGCTCCAGCCCCGTGACTGCAGCGAGGGCTGACAGATCCTCCGGCCCGGGGCTGCGGCGGGGGCTCAGAGCTCCTCCAGCCCCTGGCTTGGATCCCGGGGGGGTTCGGTAGAGGAAGGGTGTACTATTCTTAGAGAGCACAGCAGAGGCCAGATAACTGTCTGGGAGTGAATGTAGTAATGACTAAGACAAAACACACAAAACCCCTTCACGGGAAGCAGGCAGGGTTGAATACTATTCAGCATCTGCTCCTTTAGTTGAGTGTTACCAGTTTTCAGAAAGTAATCGATGAAATGAATCATTTGTGGTGGTACTGAGCATGGTATTTGGCATATATTTGCTGACTGCTGCTGAGAATGAGAATATGCTGCATGCTGTGGTCCCAAATAGTGGATCACATCTTAATGGAGAAGTGAGCCCATAGATAACTTCTCGTCCATTCACACCCATCCAACACCCCGCTGGTGACTCTTGGTACATAACGTGTCTCAGGAATATGCTGTTGTGTCTGTAGGGTCTCTAGTGAGGTCTGTCATTCAGCATCCTCCTGGTCGTTTATTCGGAGTGAGTCACTTTTGTCTCTTTTTGCTTTTCATCCGGCCCTCTCTCCCTTCCCCTCGGTTTCTCTCAGCTGGAAACAAGGGGAGAGCTAGCAGCAGGTGACCAGCCAGCTCTCTGCAGCCCACCAACAAATGTTCTTGGGCCACCACAGGTCCACAGACCACAGTTTGGGGACGCTGCTGTAATCAGCCTGGCAAGTGATTTTTCTTAAGCACTCCCCTGTTGTGTGCCTAACTTGAAGTTCACTTACAGGCCCTGAGAACATTTCAGATCCAAGTGGTTGTCTGGAGCTCAGTAAATTTATTCTTTGTTTTTTCCCCTCATTCCTAGGCGATAAATATTGGGTTTTCAAGGAAGTGACAGCAGAGCCAGGGTACCCACACGGCCTGGTGGAGCTGGGAAGCTGTCTCCCCCGGGAAGGCATCGACACAGCTTTGCGATGGGAGCCAGTAGGCAAAACCTATTTCTTCAAAGGCGACAAGTACTGGCGCTATAACGAGGACAAGAGAGCGACTGACCCAGGATACCCAAAGCCCATCACTGTGTGGAGGGGAATCCCACAGGCCCCACAAGGAGCGTTCATCAGCAAAGAAGGCTGTACGTAGAACCCATGATTGCAAGTGTTTGTCAGACTAATACCAGGTCCCCGAGCTTGGGGTTGGGATGTTTCAGATGGTTTTACTGAGCTGGAATTCAGGCCCCAGCGCTCACAGTGCTGCTCTGCCATCAGTGGCCACAGAGGTCGCTAAGGGCTGGAGTCACATGCTGAGCATCACCACACCTAAGGTCTAGGTGCCTAGAAAACCACTGGGATTCAACAAGGCTGCGTTAGGTGCCTGAGTGGGGAGAGACAGGCACCTCCAAACGGGATTCATAACGGCCAGCTTGCGAGGCAGCTACTCGCCTAAACTAGCCACTGGGAGGTGCCAAGTCCAGGTGGGTGCTAAGCTCCGCCCCTTAGAGATAGGTGTCTAAGTCCAGGCTCCAGGGAGGGGCCTCCCTCTGCTCAGGGGTCTCAGCTGCAAACCCTCTTTTGGGGCGTGGTGCCCATGCTGTTTTAGCAGGTGGGGCAGAGGGAGGAGGCACGCCACAAGTTAGGGTGCTCATGTAGGGTATGGGAGACCCGTGGTGCAAGTGCCCTTTCTGCCTGAGGGGGAGAGGGGATTGGAGCAGAAATCTGCCATCCCTCAGGTGGGGGCTGGGCTCTGGGGTATTCCGACGTGGGGACGCCCTCAGTCTCTCTTGTTGAAGCTCTTCCACTAATGAAAGAATGATTGGGCCAGAGAGAGAGCCCAGGCATGAGAAGGACTGTAGTCTGGTGGGGAGAGCACTCACGGGGAGGGGGAATAGGCAGGATCCCAGCCCCCTGCTCTAATGACGTTTTAAAATTATGTATTCCCAGTGGAACTGCTTCAACGGGCAAGACGGAGGGCGCCCCCCTCGGGCTAGGCCACTGGCCTGAAAGGGGGCAGATCTCTGCTCAAATCCCTTCTCCCCTGCAGGGTGGAATGGAGATCTTCACATACCAGCTGAGCACCCCGATCAGTTACAAGGGACCCCTCGCCTATGGGGGTCTTGTGTAAGTTTGCCTGGAGGGACCCGATTTGGTAGGTGAGCTTTGGGCCTGCGTATTAGATTGGGCCCCACAGACAAGTTAGGCGGAGGAACTCCTTTCTTCCCCCGCTTGGTGGAGTGCTCTGGGATGTAGGTGACCTGATGACTGCAATGTTTAGACTCAGAGGCAGAAACATAAGCACCTAAGGAACTTTTAATGCAAAAATGTAGGTGCCGAGTCAGTTTAGGCACCTACAAGGTTTGGCTACAGCTGAGCAAGGGTTTTGTGAATCCGAATGGGGTCTGATTCTGGGATTTAGGCACCTCACATGGCAGATAGGCACCTAGGTCCTTTTGTGAATCTAGCCCCAGTAACCTGTGACCCACTTCCCTGCCTCATTCAAACAAACACATACCCTCTTTTCCACGACTAAGTCACGTTATTGTATTGCAAGCTCCTTGGAACAGGGACTCTCTCTCCCTCCGTGTTTGCCCAGTGCCCAGCCCCATGGGCCCCTGCCTGGGGACTATGAGCAATATTTACTTCTCCATCCCTGGCTGCATCGAGCTGACTGTTTCTCTCCCCCCCATTGATTTTCTCCTTCATCCTCCAACTCTTCTCCAGCCAACTGGGAAAGAGAAGCAGCTGGCTGGAGTGGAGTCTGTCCTCTGCAGAGGACACAGGCACCCGGCTGCAGTGGATTTCTCTCGAGATGTCAGGAAAGATCCCTGAGCTCCTACAGAGCAGTGGAGTAGGAGCCAGCTAGGAAGAGTGGGAGCTGGAATCTTCCCTGCCCTTTGCCCACAGGGTGGGGAGAGAAAGACTAAGAAACGGGGGGGATGGGAAGCATCTGGAGAGTGAAGGCTACTGCAGTCAAGGAGCAGCTGAAGGCACCAGCCTTTCAGCAACAGAAGGGAAGCTTTTGAAGCCACTGTCCGCCTGGTTAATAACCAAGGCCAAATCTTCCAACAGGTGTGCTCCAAAGAGCTGCTCCTATCCAGGGTCTTCTCCCTCACTGCCCCCTCAGAGCCATATGTATGAAACAAAATATTCTAAAAATATCAACAAACCAATATCCAAATCAGTGCAGACGCTGGGCCCCGCCAATATTGGAATGCTTTTGTAACATAGAGGAAGTCCCCGAGTGCATCAGGGCAGGCGTGTTGGTGCTTTAGTTGACCATAATTTGCCCCTGAACGCTTAGATTAGAATTCCAAATAAAGGGCAAATCAGCTGCTTGGCTTTTCCTGTAAACATTTGCTCTACATTCCTCTAAAATCAAGCAATTGCCTTCTGATTTCCAAATTTGCCATGGGAGGTTCCTTATGTCTGTTTTTCTTGCCCCCACAGCCTCCTACCATTAGGCAGAGAAATAATCACTGTAAACGAAACGCCTTTCAGTTCCTCTTCGCGCCCATTTGGTTTCAAGTCTTTGAATGTTATGGTATGAAGTGATCTCTCTTTTGTCCCCTAGTTTATACCTACTTCTATAAAGGGAAGGAGTACTGGAAGTTCGATAACCAGAGGCTGAGTGTGGAGCCAGGCTACCCCAGGTCAATCCTCAAAGACTGGATGGGCTGCAACCAAAAGGAAGTTGAACAAAGCAAAGAGAGACGCTTCCCCCATGATGATGTGGATATTATGGTGACAATCAATGATGTGCCTAGCACTGTAAATGCAATTGCAGTAGTTATCCCTTGCATCTTATCTCTGTGTATCCTTGTCTTGGTATATACCATCTTCCAGTTTAAAAACAAAGAAGTGCAGCAAAACGTTACCTATTACAAACGACCTGTCCAGGAATGGGTATGACACGTTCACCTGCACATTTCAGCTCAGAGCTGCGCAAATGAGTTCCGAAGTCCATCAAACAAAACTGTTCAAGTGACTTATTATGAGTTGTGGGAGTTCTGGGACTGAAAGAAGCAGGAAATACAGAGGTGGCCTTGCAGAGTGGAGCCTCTTTCCTTCTTACTGCCTCAGTCATGTGTCTGTCTTGCTGTGCCATTCTCCACAGGCCCCCTTGTGCGTGTCAGAGACTGCAAGAGGAATTTTCTTGAAATGTTTTTCAACTGACTTGGGAAACCTTCTTCAGTGCCCTGCCCCAGTGGTCTCTGTTAAACCCAGCATTCTCCAGTGTAGCTAACCACCTCTAAATGGACCAGGTTTTTTACAGCTGTCTCATAAATGAATTAAGATAATTAAATCTATGAAACGGGAGCAATTCAGTATCTTAAGGAGAAGACATGCTGATGCTGAATCATTCCAAAAGATCTTCTTAGTTTATTACAAGAACCAGGGAATTACCTGGATGCAATTTTCCAATACCTGCTGGTCAGATGTTTTGTACATTCATAATAATTGATGCCGTCCCTCAGCACAGTGCACAAGGAGGAGGTAATTCAGTGTAGGCCAGGAGTTCAAGGAACTTTTAACTAGTAACAGCAACTCCTCAGTTGAGTTAGTCCACAAGACAAAGACCAAAACACTCCCTACTGTTAACACAGCCCTAAATGCTTTTGTTTTAGGAACCTCTCATGTAATGAATATTTAGATGTCATATTACCACTATTTGAAATTCCCATCAGTCACAAACAATAAATTGTTACCAAAACAATGAACAATTTATATAAGAACTCTGCTGTATTTTATCTGAAAATTCTGGGAAAAGATGAAGTGTTGTTATAGTGGCATGTATAATCAGATTCTGAAATTTGCCTCTCAGGTTTCAAGAGAATGAAAATGCTTGTTTAGAGGGAAATCTTCATTATAGTTAGGCAAAATGGTCTGGATAAAGTAAGAACTATGCCTGTGCCTAAAACATGAAAACATATAACTTTGAAAATTATTTTTCATTTTTCACTCACCTCTTCACACTCAAGTAGCTGGCCAAAAGGTGGAATGCCAAAGGACGGTGAGAAAGCTTGTTTTCACAGGATGACTAGCACAGTTCTGAAGATGAGAGACTCAGCTAAGAGCTGGATAAATATCTGAATTTTGGGTACTGAGCTTTGACAAATCTCCTTCTCAGACAGCAGTTGTCTGTTCTTCCCTCTTGTAAATGTGAATGCTTGGGGATGTCATGTCCTAGCTAGAGCCTTCCTTAATCTGATTTTCCATGCTGGTATCCAAACAATATGTTAAATGGCTATGAAAGAAAATGAACACAGCACTTCTGTTAGCATTCCAGGTGACATTCAGCCCTGTGCAGAGAAGCCCATAGCAGCCCTAGGCAACACTTACACATCACTTGTGTCATGTTTGGAGAGCTTAATTGGGATGTGAGTGGGCCCCTAATCCTAGAGTGGGCCTTCTGCCTTGGGCTGAATTTCGCCAGTGTAGCTGATGAAGCAAGAAGCATTGAACTGCTGATTAGCATTCAACAATGTGGATCTCACCGTTTGTTTCACTTGTTTCTTTTAGCATGATTCAGGTTATAAGTATTGATGATGACAAGAGCAGGGCAGGAAGAAAGAGAGAGATTGTGTTTGTCTAGTTTTACATGCCTGGCTTGGACTCAGATACTACCGCGAAGGGGGCGGTAGAACTTTCAGTGACTGATTTGAATTGCACATTGTGTGGTCTTAGACTGTTTTGTATTTTATACTTTATAACGCACTTCAGTAGCCAAGAAACGTTGAGTGCGTCTTCAACAGAATTATAAAATCAGTGGAAGAAGAGAACTTGGTAGATGTAACATATTTGAATTTTAGTGACAGACATAATGGAGTGTCCGGATGGCTGAAGGACTGCAAACAAAGGACCAAATAAGGTCAGACCTAATCACTAACCACCTCTCCCCAACTCAGTATGTTGCTATGTGTACTACACACATGGTGGTGACATGCACATTATAAATTCCAGCACCATGTGCCACATTGCATTTACCATGCACTTTACTATTCCTCGTAGCAGCTCCGGACAGACACCAGTTGAAAATATTTCTCTCATTGCCCTTCTGCCCAAATCTGGAATTCTCCCCGCAAATGACACTGGCCTCTGGGGAATACTGCGGGTGTCTTGGACCAGCGACAGGTATAAGGCTGGCTATCTCCTGAGCCAGGAGGGCTGGAAATGTTTGCTTTATCCCATTAGAATGCCAGAAAACCCCCTTGCCAATGAGGTAAGTCTTCTGGGACATATTTTTAGACTGGCCTTCATTTATGCTGGAATATTGGTATAGAAGGGTACAACTTGCTCAGGAAGGACAGTCAGGGAAAAAAAGGGAGGAGGTGTTGCCTTATATATTAAAAATGTACACACTTGGACTGAGATTGAGCTGGAAATAGGAGACAGACTTGTTGAAAGTCTCTGGGTAAGGATAAAAGGGGTAAAAAACAAGGGTGATGTCAGGGTGGGGGTCTACTACAGACCATCTAACCAGGAAGAAGTGGTGGATGAGGCTTTTTTTAAACAACTAACAAAATCATCCAGAGCACAGGACTGTGTGGTGATGGGGGACTTCAGCTACCCAGACACCTGTTGGGAAAATAACACAGCAGGGCACAGATTATCCAACAAGTTATTGGAATGTATTGGAGACAATTTTTTATTTCAGAAGGTGGAAAAAGCTACCAGGGGAGAGGCTGTTCTAGATTTGATTTTGACAAATAGGGAGGAACTGGTTGAGAATCTGAAAGTGGAAGGCAGCTTGGGTGAAAGTGATCATGAAATGGTAGAGTTCATGATTCTAAGGCATAGTGGGAGGGAGAACAGCAAAATAAAGAGAATGGATTTCAAGAAAGCAGATTTTAGCAAACTCAGGGAGTTGGTAGGAAAGATCCCATAGAAAGTAAGTCTAACGGGAAAAACAATTGGAGACAGTCGGCAGTTTTTCAGAGAGACATTATTAAGGGCACAAGAGCAAACTATCCCACTGCGTAGGAAAGATGGGAAGTATAGCAAGAGCCTACCCTGGTGTAACCAGGAAATCTTCAGCGATCTAAAAATAAAAAAAATGAGTCCTACAAAAAGTGGAAACTAGGTCAATTACAAGGGATGAATATAAACAAATAACAGAAGTATGTAGGGACAAAATTAGAAAGGCCAAGACACAAAACGAGATCAAACTAGCTAGAGACATAAAGGGTAACAAGAAAACATTCTACAAATACATTAGAAGCAAGAGGAAGACCAAGGACAGGGTAGACCCATTACTCAATGAGGGGGAAAAAACAATAACAGAAAATGTGGAAATGGCAGAGGTTCTTAATGACTTCTTTGTTTTGATTTTCACCAAGAAGGTTGGTGGCTATTGGGCGTCTAACATAGTGAATGCCAGTGAAAATGAGGTAGGATCAGAGGCTAAAATAGGAAAAGAACAAATTAAAAATTACTTAGACAAATTAGATGTCTTCAAGTCACCAGGGCCTGATGAAATGCATCCTAGAATACTCCAGGAGCTGACTGAGGAGATACCTGAGCCATTAGCAATTATTTTGGAAGATGGGAGAGATTCCAGAGGACTGGAAAAGGGCAAATATAGTGCTCATCTATGAAAAGGGAAATAAGAACAACCTGGGGAATTACAGACCAGTCAGCTTAACTTCTGTACCAGGAAAGATAATGGAGCAAATAATTAAACAATTTGCAAACATCTAGAGGATAATAAGGTGATAAGTAACAGTCACCATGGATTTGTCTAGAACAAATCCTGTCAAACCAACCTGATACACTGTCAAAGAAAGATAACAGGGATGGTAGATAATATTCAGTCCTGCCAGGAGTGCAGGGGACTGGACTAGATGACCTCGCGTGGGCCCTTCCAGTTCTATGATTCTATGCTGGTATAAATAATAGTAGCCACAGTTTTCTGCTGTTAAGTTTTTGCAGGCAGTTTAGGTCACTTATGCCACTGTCCCTGATTTGTGGGTACAATTTGGGACTCTCACCGTTGACACCTAAATTTTGGGACAATAAGTGCTCGCAAAACTGTGTTCAATGTTTTACATTTGCAAGTCTGCATTTGCTAAAATGGGAGCTTGGTAACAGTCAGGCTGAAATGCCACACTTTCTTCTAGCCCTGGTAGATCACAAGATCTCTGACCTTAATATGAATGGAAAAGCTATTTTCATTTACTGTAGATGTTTTTAAAATACATCAGCTATTTCTCTCTCCCCTCTGAACCATACAATTGCATTCATGCTGCTATGGCCATCTGGCTATGGATATGAAATATATTGCCAGTGTTTTCCAAATTTTTTAAGGCATATGTAAACTACAGTTTCTGTAAACGATCTGACATCTAAAAACACATGACTGGCGTAGTACCTGGCTGCAGGGTTTAATGGCATTTGCTGGGATGATCTGTGTAAGTGACTATCCCAAACTCATGTATCTGCAGTCTCTATTATTCTTGCATCTGTGCTCCCCTACTCTCCAGAGCACAAGCTGATGAGTAGATGGGCGGGATGAGTAGAGCCCTGCAAAGCTGCGGATAGCTGCACCCACACATGCGGTTGTATTGTTTACCATCTTTGCAGCTTGGCAGTGCCGCCAAATGTTTGCATCGGCGCAGGACTCTAGAATTGGTGTCAGTGGAAACACACATGTAAGCACATGTGTATGATGCTGCTGAGACATTTGGTTACACTCCTCTGCCTGGCCTCAACTTCGCTTGTGGCAGCAGTTACCAGGTAGCTGCAATGCAGGATCAGGGGCTCGTTTCCCAGCCTGCAGCTCCCCCCTGCTGGATTTCGGCAAATATTCTCACACGGAGACTGGTCAAAACTCCGGCTTCCCCTCCCCTGGGTAATTCGGACACTTCACCATGTGCTTGGCTGCAAACTGAGTCAACCAAAATAGCACAATTTCTCACAGAGCAGCAAGGTCAGTTCAACATTGACTTGCCTCTGTCTGAGCTGGCCCAGGGGCTCATGGGACTGCCTCAGACCACCCCCCCGCCTCCAGCCTGCTGCAAGATCACCTCTCCCAGGATGCAACTCATCCAGTGAGAAGGCCCCAGTGCATAGTGGGAGATGTGGTCCAGCCCAGGAATCCTGCCCGTAGAGAACAGGGGCACGAGGCACCCAGCACCTCGGATTAATGTTGAAGTTTAGAGTGACCAGATAGAAAGTGTGAAAAATGGGGACGGGGGTGGGGGGGGTAATAGGCACCTATATAAGAAAAAGCCCCAAATATCAGGACTGTTCCTATAAAATTGGGACATCTGGTCACCCGATGTTGAACTGACCCAAACCAAAATATTTCTATTCACGTCAACCTGACCCCAAAGGAAATATTTGGGATCAATGGAAAAGTCTCAGCTAATTCCCTTGTGGAAAAGGCATTTTCTGTTGAGAAATCACATTGGCCTCTCTGGCCTTCCCCTTCCCCCCACAGCCATTGCTCTTCAACTCCACCCATCCCCAGAGTCCCCTCTGTGTCCCTCCCTCCCCCCCCCCCCAGGGTCCTGGACCCTCCCCCACAAAGCCACCTTCCCCCCACCATGCCTCAACAGGGCACCTCTCTACATTTCCTGTGAGTGCCCTGATGCTGCAAACTTCTCTACAGTGCCCTCTAATGGGAGCGGGGGGGGGGAGGGGGAAAGAGGGGGAACACAACCATTGTGATCTCCTAAACAAAATCACCCCAGAATAGATCCTGCACTCATAAATCCTGCTGCCAA